AAATAAATAAATAAAATAAAGCGCTTCTTTTAACTTTTGGACTTGCCTCGTTGTCATCTGATTTTTGAGCCACAACATTGCCAAGTGTGCATTCCTTCCTCAAGAGATCTGGGTCTGACCTTTCTGCAGTACTCTTCATCTAGGCAGCTTTGCTCTGCACAACTGGACATGGAGACTCAGGCAAGAGCGTGGAGTCCCAGCCCTTCATCTGAAAACTGAGCTGTTGGACATGGTCACCACTGGTTTCTTTTGTGCTCTTGAGTTTTCTAGTTCTAACCTGCTAATCTGCATCAGAGAGAAAGCAAAGCCCCTAGGAGGGTACCTGAAGAAAAGGAGCTTGTGGAGATCTGGTGCCTGGGGGACACCAGAGTGACAGGGAGGCCAGGAGCTCGGTGCATGCTGAGCACATTGCAGCCATCCCGAGGTGAATGCAGTCTCCAGCTCGGAAGGGGTCCAATCTGGGTGAGAGCTGGGCTGGGCCATCCCCTGAGAAGTGGGCCAGGAAGCTGTACTTCGGTGTCCCCTGGCACTTTGTCAAGCTACTTGGCACCAGTATTCATTCTGTCTGTCAAGTTCCTCGAGTATCACAATGAGCAAAGTACAGCTGAAATGAACTCCTGCCAGAGTGCCCCATCTCACAGGGGAAGACTCAGAACAGGAAGCCCAGAGGAGGGAGGAAGCTGGGGGTGGGAGATCTGGGCTCCAGGGTCAGCCCGTGAAGGTCAGCAGACTGCCCACATTAGGGCAGCCCGAGGCCGTCGGAATCGAGGGACTTGGTGCAGGAGACCTGGTCACCCCCACGCGGCAAGCCACAGTCTGCATTCCGTCACACAGCCACACATTCACGCCCACGTGGATCCTGTCCCCATGTAGGACACCTGCAGAAGGATCTGCGAAGCTTGCTGGGGGATGGCTCCCTCGGCCTGGGTATCTGCAGGATGAGGGAGACGCTACATGCGGTCTGCGGGGAGGAGGATGTGAAAAGAGTCCGTGTGAGCGCAGCCAGGTGTCCAGCAGCACTGGTGCAGTGCCTGCGTACTGAGCTATGCAGGTGGGCAGCACTCGGCTGGGCCCCGAGCAGGACAGAAAGCAAGCGTAGGAACCATACTTGTCTTACGGAACTTCCTAGACATAAAGGACAAAGACAGAAGAAAGGTTGAAGTCAAAATGTGATGCCGAAATTGAGGCTGAAATACGTGGCACAGATCCTGCGTCTCTTGGTACCCACAGAAGACCCCATCGTGCTGGCTGGCCTGGAATCCCAGAGGGATTCCGAGAAAGCACCCAGCTGGCTACCAAGCCCAACTCCCGGGGCGAGAGGGGAGAAATGAGCCTTTTGGCTGCAGCGAGGGGAGCGCTCCTCGGGGCAGGAGCGGCGCTGGGGAAGGGGCCTCTCATAGCCACAGCAGTCACAGAAAAGAGATTTTCTCACATGATTTTAGACGACATGACTTGCCAAACAGATAAGGTTTTCTAGCAATAGGAAAAAAAATTCATTTTATTACCATCTTTGGTCTTATGCATTTGGATGTTTTTCTACCTTTTAATCATACCCAGCTACGAAGTGACCAACAGAATTTTTTATTACTGTGTGTGTGTGATACGCTGTGACTGCCTTCAGCTTGGGGGCTGGTACATACGTGTATCAAATCTTGATCCTTTCTGCCTGCTCTCTCCCTCTGGCCTCCCTTCCCCTTCCTTCCCCGGATTCTCCTCCCATCTCTCCCAAGACTGCTTCCCTGTTTCAATGTGATTCCTCATGTGGCTCTTTTTTTGTGTAACAGAAGGTGACAAGGACAAAGCTCTGGGAATAAAAGTATCAGCCAGGCTTATCTTTATAAGAGTGGCTTAATCTAATTCTTCCCACAGAGGATTTAACGCTGGTATTACTAGAGGCAGTGCAGCCTTTGATATTTATGTCTTCAGAAGGGTAACAATATACATTAGTAGAAGGGAAGTCTGCGATATTAAGGATTCATGCATAAGCTTAGTCTTCGATTCATAAATAAGTGCCAATCATTATTAAACATCAGTCAGGGAATGAGCAGGTAAGGGATAGCAATATTTATGGTCACTGTGATGGTTCACGAAATAAATTTGGAGGATAGACTATAAAGGACAGCTACTCCTATTGATCTAGCTGTTCATTAATAGTTCGATGTTGAGTTTGAAATCTATATGGACTGGTTTAAACACCAAATAGAACCTATTACTGGGATGATCGTTCTTTTAGAGCTTTGTATTGATTCCATCTACATCTGGACAAGAACTTACAGCTGGCCACTGGGGGGAGACTCGTTCTCAGACCTGAGCAACTCAACTTCAGGAAAATAGGACTTCAGGCTCAACCCCCTGGTCAACGGCAGCATACAGACTTATCAGAGGCAAAATGGTACCAGCATGTTTGGAGTCTTGATGTTTTCTCTCTGAGACACCACTGAGTTCAAAAGAACTCCCTAGCAAGTGGTGTATGGTGGCCCAGGTCTCCGGAAGCCCCCTGAAAGGGAGGTAGGAGAGCTATGGGTGCTGTCTTGGAGGCCCTTAGGGACCTTGGCTGAGCATAGCCACGATCAAGAGTTGCAACAGGGAGACTGGATTTTCCCAGGTCTGAGAGGGGAGACATTGAAAAGAACCTCCCAAAATGATAAAGCTTTTTCAGAAAATTCTTGTTTGCCCTTCCAGCCCTAAATTGTTTTCTATAACAATTTAGATGGTAGAAGGGAGAAACCACAAATCCTAAATGTACACCATGCTTCACATGCACATGACTATATGCTTTGCAGTAGAAAATGAAAAGCATGCTTCCTTAGGCACAAGAGTATAGACTTCTTTTCATTAGAACAAGATTGGGATAGCCAACGGACCCACAATGAAAGCCTTCAGAGTGAGCTCGGTAAGAAGACTTCTAGGAGAAAGGGAACACCAGAAAGCGCATGCGCTTTCCCACCTGAGGAATGGCTCTGGGGACACAGGAAGCCAGGCACCTGTGCACATGGGGCATTTCAGGACTTCAAAGAGGGCTCTCATGAGAGTAGATCACTATCCACCCTCAGCCCTCCTCACTGTAGCCAAGGCTGCTTTCAGGAGATTTCCAGATATTCCACACACTGTATCTATGTTAGAGTAAGTCAGAAACTATAGACCTATTTTGAGAGGAGTTTTCAATGCCATTGGAGTCACCTAAACCATCAGATAGTGAGCAAAAGTTTGCAAAGGCACAGAGAACAAGAGGCAGGCTCAGGAATCTTTACCCTTCCTGGCAGGATGATGTCAACCCACCAGCCTGGAATGCAGCTTACAACGTGACCTCCAGGCTTACTGCTCTTCAGAGCTTTAGAAGCGGGACAAGGACTTTAAGAAGCCTTATGTCACCATACCAACACTACCAGGGGTAACACCAATAAATCAAAATGACAATACAAGGAGCAGGCGATAAAAAGGGTGAGCTCATGTGATGAGAAAAGAGCCACCTTTGGCTATAGAGAGCCCTTAGATAACTCCGAGGCGACAAGCTGTGGGCTGTCTCTACTTTGTCTAAAAGTCAAGTATATTCGCAAATAAATTATGATTTTGAAGACATGAATGTATCTATAGGCCTTTCCTATTTTAACTCATTTTTAGTGAACAAATGAAACCTTGACTTATCTTTGGGGTCTTTCAGCTCCATATTGACTTTCATAGGACAATTCTCATAAAGCTACAGACTTGTTCTATGCTCAGAAATAAACTTTAAATTCTCATATGTGAATTTGAATCATAAGTCTGCCATGATCAGTTTAGAATAAAACATGAGTAGAAGGTACTTTAATATTTGCTATCTTGAAACATTCCAAAATTTTGTATCTTGAAAGTGAATGAGATTGATATATTTGGTTTTAATTTTAATATATACATGCAAAGCTTCTTGTAATACTTATGGTCACAGCTACTAGTACTCAGAAAACTTAAAAGAAATGATAAAAATACTGATATAAATACATAAGCAGAACCATGCTTTTATGATGTGACATCCACCGTCTTAAACAATCCTCAGATGAGCATGTTAGTGGTCTGTGAGCTACCTCTGTTTACAGCCTGGTCTGTTGATGCATAATTCTGGCAGCTCTAGGAAAGTGAATCCACAAGCTAATTATTTCAGAAGGTTTTAAGCAAGAAATCCATTTTCATAAGACAAACACATCTTTCACAGAAATTCCACGCTGAGCTACCTACCAGAAGTTGTCCAGCAAAGCAGACGAAAAGGATGAAGGCCAGCAAGAGGAACGCAGCTCCGAAGGAAATGCCCAGGATGGATGTCCTGCCAGGAGATAAAGAGCAGTACGTCAGGGCGAAGGGCACGTCTACATGCCGGAGAACTCCCGGCAACACTCAGTGCGCTCCACCGGGGCTTAAATAAGTGAGGCCTGCAATCCTCGCTGATCGTTGTGAGAAATAGAAACGGACCGATTGCCCGTGGATGTGTCTATGCTCACGCCTGTGCTTCATCAGCTTGCTGCGGCTCATGAAAAGTATCCTAAAAGCATTAGTGCTTTATGAAAGAAAAACTCTGTGCACGGCTGACCCGAGTGCCCAGCTCTATCGCGCGTGACTGGGCCATATGTCTTCTACTCGGGGGACCCTCTCCAGCTACTGGTGTGCAGGCAGTCGCTGCTTTCAGGGCAGCCTCCTGCATCCCCCTTGTTCCTATGGACCTGGAAACACCCTCTTCCAGCCCACCCAGCCAGATTCAGGGTTCTGTGATACAGATGCAGTTGGACGTTTGCTGCAGCTCTTCTAAGATGCCGCAGAGCAGCCCTGGTATAGGGCACAGCAGCCTGAAAGCATCCCTTGAGCACGTGAAAAGCACAGGCGAGAAGTAAGATTCTACCACTGGTAAGTCACAGGAGCCTTTATAAAAGCTGTACACGTTTCTGAGTGCTCCTTTACATAATTAAATGCCTTTCACGACTTCATTTAGTCCAAGCACAGAAGCTTGAGAAGCATCAAAGACCAGCAAATAATGAAAAGTGAACTTCAAGGAGAACATCCAGGGAGAGGTTAGGTCGGGTCTGAAGCCACAGCAGACTGTCTGCCACTGAGACTGGCCACAGAGAGTGGAGAAGCACGTCTGCTACGGAGAGGAGGTGCAGCACCCTCAATCCACAGAATACGGAGTGGAAGAAGCGGGAGAAGATCAGAAGCAAGCGGACCTGATGCACTCATGTGCAAGTACACAGCTGTGGGCCCAGAGGAAGAGTGACAAGGCGAGCCACCCCTGCGGAGAGCAGGTCTCTAACACTACAGAAGCTCCTGCCTCACGACCCCAGACACTAGCTCCATGCAAGAGATGACTGCAGCAGCCACACTTGAAGCAAGACCTACAAGAACTTGAGTTCAAACCAGCACTTGAGCCTGGTCCAGTGACGTATTGCGTCACAGCCCACACATATGACACCTCTCTAGAGCTTCCGCTACCACAGGAGCGCCTCACGTGTCTCCTCATCACGTGTCCCTTGGCCGAGGCCCCTTGGCTCCCCGACACCTGCTCAGAGCATGCTGCTTGGGGAGGCCAGGCATGGGCGAGGGTGCAGGGCGGTCTGCATCTCAGAGGTAGGGAGGGGGATTCTTGTTATTTGCCTGACAAAGCAGATATGGTGATCCGCATGCTGGGCTTCGGTCTGCCCAAAGCACCTCCACTTCTACCCGAAAGGTCTGGACATTTCTTGGATTCTATAGTCTCCCAGTTCTTTCTCAAGGTCACACAGGCCTCATAAAGCGGAGTTCAGAGACACTAGCTCTTTTACTTAGACCTGAAATTTTGTATTGGGTTATCTCTTGGTAGTTGAGTGAACTCCATTATAAAATCTTCTGATGATAAATGCAATGGAAGTGGTAACGAAGATGGTGGTGATGGTCACAGCAGTGGTGACAGTGACAGTTGTGGGGACAATGACTCTTGTGGGGAAGATGATAATGATAATAATGCTGGCAGTGATCACTGCAGGAGAATATCCACGGCACCTACTGTTTGGAGGGTCCCATACATGCCATTTATTTAGCCTCAAAATCATCCTATAGAGTAGTTATTATTATTTTATTTTAAAAGAAACAATGAGGCCCAAAGGAGCAGAAGAACTGGGCTACAGTGATATCTCTATGAAGCAGCATGCTCAGGATTCATGAACATGCAATTGTGGGCCTGACTCAGCTTGTCATAGGAGTAGACATGTCATGCTTCTTGTAATTTTTCACTAAGTTTAGTCCATTCTTTTTTTTTGGTGCCAGAGCTTAAACTCAGGACTCTGTACTTGCCAACAGGTGTTTATGCCCCTGAGCTATGTTCCCTGCCCTTGACACAGTTTTGATAGTGCTTTTTATTTTTTTTTTGGTATCAGAGATGGAATTGATAGTGTTCTTAGAAAATGTGGTTTCATTTTATTCTCAAATGCCAAGTATTCTGTGTAATAGTCTCTTAAAATTTAGAAGATCCTATATTTGATTTCATCTTGTACCTTGTATTTTTTGTTAGTGTGTTTTTGCATTGCAAAATACAAATATTTGTGTTGGGGAATTGGTGCAAGTATAGAGCATGTCTTGATCATTTTTTTATCCTTTAAACCCCATCTCTTACTTCTCTCCTCTCTCTTCCTTCCCTTCTCCACAATTCTTATTTTTTTTTGTTTCTCCTTTCCATTACTCACTTATTTCTACTTTAGGTTTCTAATGTAAGACAAACCTAAACCTGTGTATTTAACTTTCTGTGTCTGACTTATTTTATTCAATGTCTTGTTTTATTTACATAAGTCTTTTGAAGTTTTGCATATTTTGTTCTCAAAGAATGAGTTTTTGATTCATTATTAAAGACTATGCTTTCTGACATGCTCTAAATTTATTACTGATTCAACTTTTAATACTCACTTCTTTACTGAAGTCTATTGCTCTTGTTTGATCATCTCTTATTGCCAATCTTCTGCATCTCATAATGAATGCATTTAAGGACATAAATATCACATAAAATACTGTTCAGCCAAATGACACAGCTTTTGATTTATATGGCTCCTTATTGCTCTCTTTCCAAAAGGCCCATAATTTTGATTTCTGTTTTTGCTTAACACAAAAATAATTTATAAATTTCACTTTACATTTCACGAGGAGACTAATTTTGGTTGGTCCTTGTCATTGCTAATTTCATTAGACTAACCAGAGATTGTAGCGACTGTAGCTTTAATTATGTCTACTGTGATAACTTATTTTCTTTCTTGGATGTCAGAAGTACGCTCTACTTTATGTCATTTGCTGGGAACAAGTGTGGTCTCAAAACACATCTACTGAGGGAGTCGGCTGAGTTAGCGAAAACCTGAAAAGGCTGACTTCTTTGGTCTGTCAATGCTAGAGTAAGTGTTAACATTTCCAACTAATGCTGTCAGGTTGCCAATATATCTGAATATTTTAATGATTTTTGCTTTACCTATTTTAAAGAGATGATGGATTTCATAGACATGTTTGACTGTTAAATTTGCTTGGAGACTTAAGCCATAATAACAAATTACTTTCATGTTGAAAGCCTTTCATTTGAATTCTAAATTACTAAAAAGCTGATTCTGTAAGATTTTCTCCATTCTCTATTTCCAACCTTTCTTTGTTTTTCTATTACAGCTAGATTTCTCATACACAGTGTAGGAAAGAAAGATCATTTTAGCCTCTTTCCATAAATAGGGAGGGCATTTTTTTGTATTCTCAATTATAAAATTCATTCATGTTTGACCAGTTCCTTCCTTCCTTCCTTCCCTTCCTTCCTTCCTTCCTTCCTTCCTTCCTTCCTTCCTTCCTTCCTTCCTTCCTTCCTTCCTTCCTTCCTGTCTTTTAATGTATTTGGTACAGGGCACACTGCAGCTTGAACTCATAGTGATCCTCCTGTTTCAGCCTCCCCAGTGCTGGGATTACAGGCGTGCACCACTATGCCTGGTCTTGGTGGCTGGCTCAGCGTGTCCAGGGGTGGGGCCGGTGTGGCACGTGGTGCCAGGGATTGAACCCCGGTCCCTGCACTTGCCTAAGCAGGTACTTAGTCCACTGAGCTATCTCACCAGCTCTTGGTCAGTTTCTTTCTGATATGAACTGGGCTGTTCTCATCTTCAGATGAGCTCCGGCCCTCGCTGTTGCAGAGAACAGCTGTTCTCTTTGGGGAGCTCTGGTCTTAGCTTCATCTTGAGCATTGTTTCCTGCTCCACTGAGGATCTCTCTGCATCCCGCTGGCACAGGCTTTGAAGCTTCCACTATTGACCTTCAGGCCTTCCTGGTGCAGGTCCATAATACAGACTAGCATGAGACGTTGTCGTTGGCTCGAGGCCTTTAGCAGGACTTGTGCAGGACGTTGTTGTGGGATCCAGGTTCTTGGCTGGATTCTTTGGGCCTCTTGTGGGACAGATATCTTGCATTATTTTAGATTTGACTTTTGGGGTAAACATTATAAGATATTCCTATAAATTTATGTGTCTTGAATTATCTCTATTCCCTTACAGACCCTAACTACAAACCATAGTGGATTCTCTTGCTCCTTTACCTTGTCAGTTTGGACACTTTGTAGTTCTCTCTGTCTGTCCTCTCAGTTTCTGTAAACAGACTTGGAAGGGGCTGAGGGATCTTTAAACAATGTTTTAAGAAGCTAAGTTTTGGCTTTACTAATTTTCTTTCTTCCATTTCTTCTATTTTAGTGATTTCTTCTATTATCTTTAATATTTGTTTTCTTCTATTTGATTCTAATCTGGTCCTCTTTTATAGGCTTTCAAAGTTGGAAACAATTGAGTTTAATATTTTATTCTGATTTAATATAAGAAGCTTAAAGTAACAAATTTCTCTCGCAATGACTGCACTAACTATAAGCCACATATTTTAATATATTCTTTTGTAATTCAAAGACTTAAAAACTTCTACCATGATATCTTATTTGATCATGCACTATTCAAATGCAAACTTTTTTTTTTTTTTGGCAGAACAGGGGATTGAACTCAGGCCCTTGCACTTGCCAAGCAAGCACTTGTTCCACTGAGCCAATTTCCTGCCTTCCCAAAAATGCAAACATTTTTAACCTTGAAGTATCAAGCAGTAGTTTAGATAGTATATTTAAATTCTTTTTATATATATATTGTGATTCTTTATTTGATTTTTGTGTGATTAAGTAGCAGACTGTAAGATTTTACTTTGTAAAAATTAATTTCAGTCTTTCCAAATGTCGTGAGCAACTTTGCTGGCCAAACATAGATTATATCTTGTTTAATTGTCCATATCGAGTTTAAGATAATGTGTGCTTTCCAGTTGGGG